ATTGTTCAACCCCTTTGACAGAAAGAGAAACTGAGGCACAGAGAGGTTAATACATATTTAGTGAGCTAGCTCAGAAGCAGAGCCAGGCATGGAGAACCTTCTGGTATTTTGAGGAATAATTTGGATGTGACAGAGAATACAGCTCAATTGGCTTAAACACAGAAGGGAATATATTGATTCATGCAACTGAAAATTCTGGATTTAGACTGCTTTAGGCAGTGGCATTGATATAAGGCTCAACTGACATCATCAGGATTCAGTATCTCTCCATTTCTTTGTTCTCTGTCTTCTGTGTTGGCTTCATTCTCAGGCTTTATATGGTGTAAGATGACTGCCAGAGAGTTCGGGGCAATATTCTACCAGGTTCAAATGTAGGTGAACATAGGGTGCCTCACTCACAAGAGTCCATGCAAAAGTCTCATTGTTCCTTACCAGCTCCAGTTGAGTAACATGCCCATTTCTTAGCCAAATCCTGGGGTTAGAGGAATGGAAGATTCCTTTTGCCAGGGCTTTGTCACACACACACCCTTGGTGTAGGAGTATAGTGGGAAAGACTATAGTGTCTGCATGTAGACTGAGAGTGAAGAATGGGAGTAATTCTATGTTCTCATTCCCAGAGGGCAATAGAGATACTGTTTCCGGAAGGGAAAATAAACACTGGCTGTCAAAATAAAAACAAAATAGATGTCCACTGCATCCTTCTCTCACTGAGGCCAGGCCTCTCCGGGCCGACGCGCGACGGTGGAGGAACCCGATTCCCTTTCCCGATACCGACCGGTTCCCGAAGTTCATCGTGCAGACGGGCTCGTACATGTTCGTGGACGAGAAGACGTTCTCCAGCGATGCCCTGAAGGTGACGTTCCTCATCACCCGCCTCATGGGGCTGGCCCTGCAGTGGGTGATCCCCTACATCAAGGACAGCCCCCTTGTTAACGATTATCGGGGCTTCCTGGCCGAGATGAAGAGGGTCTTTGGATGGGAGGACAAGGACTTCTAGGCCGGGAAACCCTCGGGCCTAGGGGCGGGTGCTCTGGGGAGGGTCCTCTGTGCCAGTTGTGGCCTCCAGGGTCGCCACTGGCGCCGTCCCGCTGCACCTCCCTCCCTCCATCTCCAGACGCAGAGATCTTCCCTGCGCTCCTGTCCCCTCTCGCGTGCGTTGTGCTTGCTTTTGTTCTAGGAATAGCGCTGCAGGCTGGCGCTGCTGCCTCTGGGCCTCACTCTGGAGCTCCGCCACCCTCTCCTGCCAGCCCGGCCACTCCCATGCACATTTGAATGCTGTCCTGTGCTCCAGCTGCAAGCTGGGGTCCTGTGACACACTGGACAGCCCACCTGCAGCCGGTCGCTGCCCACCGCCCCCCTACCAGATTCCTGTGTTACTCTGCTCACACACCTGCGCTGCCGCTGCTACTGCTGTCACCATCCACTGCATCCCACTGCCAGACTGCCGCTCTTGGTGATCTAGACTCACCTCAGAGGTACCTGAGTTGGCCACAGCCCTTGGACAATAATTCAGACAGCTGGCCACCCCCCTGAATGGGGCAGCCAGCCTTTCACCTCCAGCGACACCCTTTTCTTTCCTACTCCCAAAGACCTCTTGTGTTCCTGCCAGATGGCTGCCAGGGCCCAGGTGTGCCTGGTGGCCAAATCCAGTCACTCATTTTTCCTATGGACCAGTTAATTTTGCCCAGAATCCATTTCTCTTCTGAATTTGCAGCTGTCTCTGATGTGTGCCTTTTGTTCAACACTAGAATCCCTGCAGTCTACCCTGCTCTTCTATACTACCTGTACAAAGTCTTTTCCTTATTTTCAATAAATGTCAGACGCTATCAAAAAAAAAAAAATAAGATACTAATAATATTGACTACTGTCTATCGAACATCCACTAGGTACTGGCTGTCAGGGCTTGGGTGAGTGACACAACCCAAGGCCCAGATTTCCTCTATTTGGTGGAGATCTATTAATACCTACCTAATAGATTTGTGATGAGACATAGAATGAACAAGAAAGGCACGTTAGTGCCAGAATTGGGGATTTGGTCTGTGACTCTGCTGCAGTTGCCACAGGGCTACAGTGAACAGTTTTATCCATCTTGAGAGCCCCAGTGCCTTGGAAATTCAGGACGGTAAATCCTCAAAGTGCCAGGCCCTGCTCCTCCCCCCGGATTGAGCACTTAGTATCCCAAACTCTCTCTGTAGGATCCATATCCAGAATGTGGAGGAGAACCATAGTCCTGCTTCCTTGAGACTTGCTTCGAGAAGAGTTGAAGCCAGCCGTAAAATCCCCTGCTGCCTTTGGTGGGGCAAGCAGGAAAAGCATGCGGGAACCTAGGTTAAAGGTCAGAGACAAGCCTGCCACTGAGGGGAAGGATCACTTGCCATGTCATGTAGACTCCAGAGTGCATCTCCTGAGGCCATGGTGACACCTCCAGCAGACAGGACTGGAAGGCAAGCTGTGTCCTAGGGTAGAAAATCAGAGGTCATGGCCTCGAAAAACAGGTACTGATACATTCTGCATTTGAGGGCCTACCATGTGTCAGACACGATGTTAGATAGGAACGGTAGCTATGTTTGTCTCCCCTAGAGGTGAAAGGAAATGAAGGTTTTTACAAAAGCTTTATTGAAATATATTTTATATACTATTCAATTCACCCTTTTAAACGATACAATTCAAGGGATTTTAGTTATGTTTACAGAGTTGTGCAGCTATCACTCTATAAATATATCACCACTCTCTAATTTTAGGACTTTTTCATCACCCCAAAAAGAAATGCTATACTTGGAATCCAACAATTTCTCATCATTTATGCATAGCTTCTTCCATGTAGCATGATGTTTTCAAGGTTCATCCAACTTGTCAATACTTCATTCCCTACATCAATACTTCATTCCCTTTTATTGCCACATAATAGTCCATTGTATTGACAATGGACATTGTATTGACATTGTATTGACATACCACATTTTAATTTTTAAAAATTTTACTTATGTATTATTTTATTGATACATAATATTTCTACATATTTATGTGGTATGTGTGAAATTTTGTTATATGTATAGAATATGTAATGATCAAGTCAGGATATTTAGGGTGTCAATCACCTTGAGTATTTATCATTTCTATGGGTTGGGAACATTTCAAGTCCTTTCTTGTAGCTATTCTGAAATATACAATACATTGTTGTTAACTATATTCATTCCACCCTGATATCAAACATTAGAACTTACTCCTTTGATCTAACCGTATGTTCATACCCATTAACCAATCTTTCTTCATCCCTACCCCCAAGACACACCCTGCCCAGCCTCTGGTATCTATCATTCTACTCTGCACCTCCATGAGATCAACATATGAGTGAGTACATGTGACTTTTGTCTTTCTGTGCCTGGCCTACTTCACTTAATTTAATGACCTCCAGTTCCATCCATGTTGCTGCAAATGACAGGATTTAATTCTTTTCTATGGCCAAATAGTAATCCATTATGTATACATACCACATTTTCTTTATCCATTTGTCTGTTGATGGACACTTAGATTGATTCCATATCTTTGCTATTGTGACTAGTGCTGTAGTAAACATGGGGGTGCAGGTATCCCTTTGATATACTGATTTCCTTTCCTTGGAATAAATATCCACTGGTGGGACTGCTGGATTATATGGTAGTTCTATTTTTAGTTTTTGCGAAATCTGTTTTCCATAGTGGCAGTACTAATTTGCATTCCCACCAACAGTGTAAAAGAGTTCCTTTTTCTCCACATCTTCGCAACATCTGTTATTTTATTTTATTTTATTTTATTT